TTAAAGTAATTTTGGATGCTACATTACTGGACACTGGACCCTGACAATTGGCTTCTGTAAAGTGCAAGTCATCCATGCTGGTCTATACAAGACTTCAACATCTTAAATTTCAAAATAACACAGAGCGCCATACACTTTAGTTGATATAGAAGGAAAACCAGTGGCTGATAAGCAGCCTAGTAGCATGGAGTAGAGTGACCGCTGTAGAGCAGTGCACAATGTGAAGCATCCCAGGTTTTTCCTTGTACTGCAGAAAAACTGGGAAAATATTAAAAGACCATGTTAATAAATGAATGAATTTCTCAATTTCTTGCTTTTTTCTAGTATTTAATTTCCAGTATAGCATAGCTAATAGGCTACATTAGATGCTCAGTTTCAATTGAAAAAAAGTGCAGCGTCATTAATATCTGTAACGTCTTTTTTCTTTCGCTTTGTCTCTGTCTGTCTAATTTTTCAGGTGTTGTGCCCAGGAGGGGTGGTAACCATGGAGAGGCTGTTGCTGTGTTTGATGCTCATAATTACCATGGCAGTGCGGGCACAGATCTGCCCAAAACGCTGCGTATGTCAGATCCTGTCGCCCAACCTGGCAACCCTCTGTGCCAAGAAAGGTCTACTGTTTGTACCACCAAACATTGACAGGCATACAGTGGAACTACGGTTAGCTGACAACTTTGTCACAAGGTAACAATCACACCAATAATTATGTTATCAAGACTACTGTACCCTTAATATATGTAGATGCTTCTGTTGTTACTACCCTACTACTACAAGTTTTAATGTCTTACTAATTTAATGTTCGCACATTAGAAAGGGTGCTTCATGACCAAATGCAAGGGCAATGACAGCCATGGCCATATGGCTATGTACCCACAAAAATGGTGGGTGATTCTTGTCTTCTCAAAATCTCCACTAAAATATAATCAACTAAAGATCTGTCTCAACTAAAAAAATGAAAAATGATCAGCTATAACATTTTTTTAAATATGAAATTACTAATACTGACAACGAATGAACAACTAATATCTAGCACTCTGTTACAACTTGAATTTGAAATACTACTAGTTATAGTTCAGTCTTTATGTGCGAGAAAGAAAAACCTTTCCTAAAAACTGAGAGCAGAGACATTGATTTATGATGTCACTAGGCGACAAAGCCCAGAGCTTTTCCAGCGAAGGTTATTAAGACACTGAATTGTTGGACAGGGTGCATCACCCAGGGAAGTTTTTATGGGGATATGAACACATTATCCACTGGCACCAGAGTGAATTAAACTCATTTCAGCGGAGAAAAACTTTGGAAAAGCACATTCTTCGAGGCCCCAGAATAAGTCATAGGCACTTCATAGTGAGTAGAGCAGCTCAAGGCTGTCTCGATGGCATTGCAGTTTAATGCTTTGATTCTTTGGTTTTAGCCTTTGAGGATGCTCAAAAATATTGAATTCGCTGCACAGGATAAAAGGAATGAATTCTGTTTTAGAATGACTTTGCTTTTAAATATTGAAAACACTTTCCCATAAAAAAGAGCTCTTTCAAAACTATTATGCTTTTGAATACTACTAAAAGACCGACAAACATGACACTTCACAATTTAAAGGAATATTTACAGTAAAAATTCATTGCTATTTGTATACTGGCTTTGACAGCTTCACACAATTCTGTCTTGATGGAATTGTTGGTGTTACATGCTTGTTTAGCGAAATAGCAGCTCTAGTACTGGAGGACATAACATTGATGATATACTGTATATCTGTCTGTTGTCTGTTCTTATGTCTCCATAGTGTGAAGAGGAAAGATTTTGCAAACATGACACGGCTGGTGGACCTAACATTATCAAGAAACACCATCTCCTACATCACACCTCATGCCTTTGCTGATCTGGAAAACCTCAGAGCCCTACATCTCAACAGGTATGGATTAACATAAACAGAATTTTATGGTTTGGGCCTTCCCCAAGCCGTAAATAAACTGAATGTTGAATGTGCTTCAACCTTTCACAGTAACCGGCTGACAAGGATAGGTAATGATACTTTCAGCGGGATGTCAAAACTTCACCACTTGATTCTGAACAACAACCAGCTGGTGCTGATCCACCAGGGAGCATTCAATGACCTGTTGGCGCTGGAGGAACTGGACCTCAGTTACAATAACCTGGACTCGATTCCATGGGAGGCCATCCAGGTCAGGATCTCTTTAAACTGCAACAGCTTTTCAAACCTGCTTGGCTGGAGGCCCTTGGAAAGAGCCAGTTCCAAGTACAGTAAAATAGCCATAAAACCTTTTTGGCCATTTTAGTGAAATTAAAGTGATTAAGATAGAGATTTTAGTGACTTTTGGATTGAATACTGCTCATTAAGCCTCACCTTTTTTTTCCCTAAGCGTTTTCAGTGCTGACAATGACCATTTTAGTTGTAATTATTATCAATCAACAAGCAATTTTTTTATATATTCTGGATCTTGAAATGACTAAGTTGTTAGAAAGTTGCAATAACACTTCTTCTGCTGTATTAGGTGTTTCTACAATGATTAACCACATATGGCTTTACTGTTTTTAGTTCAACTTTCGGAATAGATGTGGTTCAGCTTCAGTGTTTCAGTCACCATGGTGCAGCAGTGAATGAAATGAGTTTAAAAGGGCAGTGGGAATAACATGATTCTGCAGCCTAGGATGTCTAAAACATTGAAAACATCTCTGTATCGCTACTTTCTTAACCTTATCACCTCATTTAAGAACAAAATATACTTATGAAAAGCAAAGGGTTAATGATGAAGTCCTCTGTTATTCTGTCATTACTGCAGAAAATGATCAGCCTCCATACATTGAGTTTAGACCACAACATGTTGGACTTCATTCCAGAGGGAACCTTTTCCCTTCTACAGAAACTCAACCGGCTGGACGTCACCTCCAATAAACTCCAAAAGCTACCCCCAGACCCTCTGTTTCAACGAGCACAGGTATTATTTAATTCATTCCCAAATTAACAGACAGGCCTAAAACCACTAATAATGCATTTTGTATAACATACAGTAGGTTTTTCTCTGTATGAGACAGTAACAGCTGTGTGTGGCCTAACAAGCTTTGACTACCCACTTGCTTAACAGGAAAAAAAATTAAATCCTGCTTGGCTTACAGATGGCATATACAGTATGTGAAAGCATGGGGTCTGGGCTTTCAGAACCAACATTTACTGTTTTGGTCCCGATATATAAATGGTAATTAAAGGGGAAACTTTCACATTATTGATAAAACTCTAAACCTGATTAAACCAGTCATTCCTTCTAATATATACTCACAAACAACAAAATTTTAAGCCATATTTGTTTCCTTACCTCGATGATTTATACAATCTGTCAACCAATTCTGGGAAGCAGGAGGCCACACGGTAGAGAAGTGAACACAGAGTTCTTTTTTTTCCCTTTCCTTTCTTTATCTGTTAATGGCAAAAAGGACAAGGTGCCATGCACTCAGCTATCTCAGGTAGAAACTGTTCCCAGGAAAAATGTGGACTTGACTATAAGAGAGGCTTTTACTGGGGGGAAAAAAATCTGTTTTGCTTGAGTGTAGGCATTTTTAATGCAATTACTGTTTCACACTATCAGGTACTGGCCACGTCAGGGATCCTGAACCCCTCTTCCTTTGCACTGTCATTTGGTGGGAACCCTCTCCACTGTAACTGTGAGTTACTGTGGCTGCGAAGGCTGAACAGAGAGGATGACCTGGAGACATGCGCCTCACCACAACACCTCTCTGGCCGATACTTCTGGTCCATCCCTGAGGAAGAGTTCTTGTGTGAACCCCCACTCATCACCAGATACTCTCATGAAATGAGGGTGCTCGAAGGGCAGAGAGTTGCACTCAGGTATCATTTTCGGTTTTTGGCTGAAACATGAAAATAGTAGGAAGACATGCAGTCAGTAAAAATCAGCTGACAGGTTTCTTCATTATTTTTGTAACCTCTCTACACCTTTTTCCACTCACACTCACATATCAACACACACAGGCTTTATTTCCTGTAGCTAAGCCACCCGGAATACATGAAATGCCCTACTGTTCAGTGAAGCACAGGACAGGGACATCACACTAAAAATTTAAGGGGAACAAAACTAAATCAAGACAACAACAGGTCTGAGAGATGATTACTTTATTTGCATATATATTGGTCACAGACTTCAAGTGATGATAGATGTTATGCTGTCAAATATGGAAATATGATGAAAATGAATAAAGTGGGGGGAGGAGGAATTCAATGACATTATTATTCTCTTTCCTTTATTGTGTCTTGTCTGAACTCCGTATATACGGTAAGGGATATTATAAGTAGATATTAGTAGAGAGAGACCCCAGCTCACACTTCTCATCTTCCGTAGCATCCATTTTAATGCATAAAGCTAGAAAACAGCAAGTCTTGGGGTACATGATTTATTTTATTATTATTTTTTACGAAAGATCACTATAAGAGAACCACGAGTATGAACAGAAGGCACATTTTTCTTCAATTTGTCAGTATTGCACGACTCATGTTCTTTTTTGCACAATCCATGTCTTACTTCTTTTAAGGCTTTAAAACCCTTTTCGTGCCTTTTATTTACATCTTTGCTTCATAATTTACATAATCAAAATGTCAACTATTTTAGTTATATTTATTTAGTTCAGGCTTCTGAAGGTCGAACATTTGCTGTTTTTTAAAATTTTCTACAATAGGAAACAAAAATCTTTGGGATTTGGACTGGTGATCCTTCATTAGTGCAAGACTGCTACACCATTTACCTCAAACCTCTTGTCTTCTTCCCTTCTACCACTATCAAGCAGCATCCTGTTGTTACTGTACAGTTGACCCCATTCTGTCTTGTTTCTAATTTGTTCTACTCAATGTGTTTTCACTCCACAAAGGTGTAAAGCAAGAGGTGACCCAGAGCCGGCCATCCACTGGATCTCTCCTGAGGGCAAACTTGTATCTAACTCCTCCAGAACGCTGGTCTACACCAACGGTACCCTAGACATCCTCATCAGTACTGTGAAAGACACTGGCTCCTTCACCTGCATCTCCTCTAATCCTGCTGGTGAAGCCCATCAAACAATAGACTTGGTTATTATAAAACTCCCCCACATCTCCAACAACACCAACAACATCCAGGAGCCTGATCCGGGATCGTCGGACATTTCCACGTCGACCCGAGGCGGGGCCAATGGGAGCAACGTGACCGGTGACGTGAAAGGCGGGGTGGATAAGAGGGTGGTGATAGCTGAAGCAACATCGTCAACTGCGCTGATCAAGTTCAACTTCCAGAGGAATATTCCAGGCATTAGGATGTTCCAGATACAGTACAACGGGAGCCAGGACGACTCGCTGGTCTACAGGTGAGACTGACAGAATCATTAAGTCACCATGATGTTCATGACAGTGGAGTCACACAGCTTACACAATGGAAACTGAATCATGATATGACCAGTGTGGAGGTAAAGAATTACCTAAGTCTGAGCTACATGGATTAGATTTCAGTAGATTAGATGCAACTTTAATGATCCAGTTGGAAAAGGTGATCACAGGAAATAGGAACAGAACACAGACGAAATCGGATAGAATTATGAATGTGAGGCAAATACAGCACTATGAGGGTGCTACAATGGCTCTACAACTCTGTAATGAAAAACATTTATGCTACAGAAAAAAAAGGGTACAGCATGTATGCCAGATACAGAAAGACAATGACAAATAAAAACATTAAAATGGTATTTAGTAATGAACTTGGTTAATTATTCAGGATGATTTAAATTTGTGTTGCACTTTTGTAATAGGTTTGCCAGTGGAAGTGTGAAAATGTTCGATATCAACATAATGTGGAAGACTATTGCTTTTATCGGAGGATGTGAACAGACTATTTATCATTGTTTACTACATTACAGCACAGACAGATGGTTCATTTCAGGGCAAATTAGACTACCACACAGATGAAACTGGGATGAACAGCAAAGTAAACGGGCAAACAAGAGTAAGAAAGTTGATAATCTTCAGTCTAAACTAGCAAAACAATGCAGATCATTCCAGCCTGCTGAATCACTAGAATGGCCATGCCAGGGAGAGCTCTGATAGCCTTTCTTGACTTTTGCTGTTTGCTCAGGATTGCACAGATTAGATCAATCTCGCAGGGAATGATTGTTATTTGAGTTAAATATTTACTCTGGTGAAATAGAGAAGAGGGAATTAACTGACATGCAGCACCTTCACAGGGAAATCTGCAAGTGTTATCTCCCTTTCATATTGCTGCTAATCCCCACACATACAGTAGCTAATCAGAACACATCAACGAGGTGGGGGATTGACCATGTAGATCACACTGATGACAGTACTGAGGTTGTTACAATATTCATCTTTGACGACTACGAGCTGTGAGTGTATGATCCTTGATCTCTTACAGGTTTTGAATAAGCAAAGATCACTTTCATACTGTAAGAATCTGTTGGAATTATTTGCCTTGAACATTATTCCTAATCTCTGTACATAATTCATAATGCACTTAACCCCATTCACCGGATCCATCATCAAGAGATGGCGTCAGTGGGATTTATAGCTGTCTGCCTTGTAATTTCATAGCCTTTCACATCAAGACAATTGCTTCTCCTCTCTGTGTCTTTCTCTTTCTTTCTCTAAATGCACTGGAGCATTGCATTTGTTGGATTTTCATCATACAAAAAGCTGCTGTTATACTTTTATCCCAAGACTTGAAACTAATTATTCCAAAGTATTAAGTTTGAAAGCATGACAGCCACAAAAACAAACAGCTTCCTGTGGTGGCACAGAGTGGGAGTGATAAGACAGCCTTTCCCCACCCACCCTAATCATTCCTCTCTCTGCCACTTAAAGCCTATCTGGCTTTCTTTCTTTTCATCCTTCCCTCTTTCTCTAGCTTTCTCTTCCTTCTTTTTTTTACAACATTAAGTACTGAAGTCATTTGTGCCTCTTTCTCTTGTCTTTAGATAGCTGATTGATTTCCATTCAATACCTCTGCTGGCGTGAAGCACCAAACCATTGACTCTGCTTTTTCATTACCCAAACACAGAGAAGAAGGAGAAGAGGAGTGGAAAGGGGGGAAGGCAACAGAAAAGTGGATGATATAGAGGGACGACAGAGAGAAAAGATTGGTCAAGAGTAGAAGCGAAATAGAATGACAGACAAAGGAAGACTGATCCTGTTGTCAGAGACAGAGCACTTACTTTACAGGTTCAATGACAGCTTATTGATTTGCCGCACTTTGACATTTGTGCACTTTACTTCCCACCTGTGCAACATAATGCCGTTGTGTGTAGGAGTTGTGTATGTTTCCTCCCTACTGTGAATTCGACTCTCTGCATAAAAAGACGAATAAAATGAGTGACAGTTCAAAGCTTTTACTGCTGTGTTAACCTCAAGAACACACACTGCCCTGCAAATCTGAAATGGAATAGTTGTAATATTTGTTTCTGCATTGATTGCTGCAGGAAAACCCCACCCACCGCTCCCTCCACAGGGATGTCAGGGTCAGCTGCAGAACAGCACTCCTGGAGCTGATAGGGATTCAGTGTCTTGTTCAAGGACACTTGAGACGGGCAGATGTTTACTAATATAGTATAGCACTAATATAGTCTTCCTGCTTAAGTATTGTATTTCTATTCTTCACACAGGCCTATTGCCCAGTGGGTCACAAAAGTAAACCCCCTCAAAACACCAAAGTCAATGTGATGCTGGTCTTGTTTAAAGGGCTCTGCTCTGAGATATGCTCCTCTTCTCGGCCCCTCTCTCTCTACCTCCTCTCCTTGTTTTCTCCCCTGATCTCATGTTTTCCTGCCTCGTTTCTTTCCTCTCCTCCCCTTCTTGTTGCCCCTCCACATCTCCACTCTTTGCTTTCTCTCATCATCTTGGCTTTTTTCCTCTCCTTTCCTAGTTTCTTAAAGTGTGAATAATTAGTATAATGAGAATTATCTTTGTAATTGCTATAGAGAACATAAAGGTATCATGCCATGTTGAATGTTGGGACAGGAACACCATTTTGGGAGATTTACCTGCCTACATTCTTATTTTGTTGCTTAAATCATTTAGGTCTCATTTTACTGACTGCGGTAACTCAGAATGGATAACCTTAGCTGACTGTACCTAACTGTAGCTAACTTGTAGTGGACCTAGAGATCCAGTTGACGAGAGCAACAGACATGACTGCACCCTGAACTCAGCTCTCGGTTCAAGAGCAAACACTAGCTAGCAGCTTTTGGCAGATAACACAAACACTGCACATAAGTCAAATTCTGTCCTGTCTGTGCTCAAACTGAAACACTAAAGTGGACGTTGTGACGTAGTTGAAGCATCTGCTACTGTATGTGGCTGTATGGGATAGTGTTTATTTTTAATTAGCTTACAGATGAATTCAGTGTATACATCTATGATTGATAATGAGTGTGAGTTAAGCTTATTTAAGTACATCTGATTCCCTTGTTAGCTTAAGCAGGTAACATTAGTCAGGTACCACACCATCATCATAACATGACTTAGCATAACTGACTAATTATACAGCTACCTGCTATTTATAAGTACAATTATACAATTCAAGCCTCATTTGAATCACATGAGTAACATTGGCAATAGAGTGATAATATTAAGTGTGCAACTCGTGTCATTTCTTAAACATGAAGTAAAACAGTAATTATTTCAGAAGCTGACTTTTTTTCTGATTGATCAGTCCGAACCCTCGGAGGACCTCAACAATAACAGGGCACCTACAGGTCTTGAAAAGTCTTTGAAAGCCTCAAAAATGGTTTCATGAATTTGTATATCCCTATATATGCTAACTGGACAGTAGTTGTCTGATGTTTCTGCAGCTGTCACACATAACAAAATGGTAGCAATTTGTTTTCATAGGTTTTCTTCCAGTGACAAATCAACAAGAATTAGGAAGCCAAAGCTGCATATCCTGTAGTGTAACTAGGCACTTTCTGAATCTGAGCTCAGTGGGAGATGTGGGCTGTGATGCAAGCTCTCATTCAGAAAGAACAGCAGCTGTCGCTGGCCTGGCTTCTTGAAGCTGCATGTCTGACTGCTCTGTTAGTCAGAGACTCTGTTTTCCTACAGTGTTTTGTTAATATCTTTACACAGGCAATTTGGCATGTGTCAGGACAATTTTCTGCACAAAACTCAGTGCTCACTCTTATACTGTGCTCAAGGAAAAGTTAGTTTTGAAGCTTCCAGACTTTTTTTCTTAAGACTTTTCAGACAAGTAACGTTTTGTGTCCTCAAGCCACTAATCCAAAGTTTTATTCATGATTTCATTGTAGAGACCTCTAGGCTTTGGCAAAAGCTGTGAATATGTAGTCTGTACTATAAGGCTACAATTACATGGTTTGCCCCTCCTGTTGCTACTCATGTACCTTGGATGTGCATTTCCTTTCTTTTTAAATTTGAACTACTGTATAAGTCATTCACAGACCTCTTATCTGAGCCTCAGCTGCTAACCCCTAATTTCAGGTTGGAAGGCTGATAATGATGAAATAATGTGCAGACCTTTCATGACAGGGGTGGCACATGCAGTCTTTGGCCTTTACACATAGTTAGTTATTTTGTTGAACAGTTGTTTTGATCATGACAGTTAAATTCACTGCCAGCATCTATATTGAATTTACTGAAAAAGGAAGGAAGAAGCTTTTAATTTAATCATGATTTCATTGTATTTACAGATTTTGTAATAATAATAATCACAATGACAACAGAAACAATAATTAAAAATGAATTATAGCTGGCGATATTGTTAATATCAAAACTAAGCTGAACTTTAAAATGAATCATAAAAATAATGAAATTCTGTTTGCTATATAAATGCCCATAAACACAAGCCCGAGACCAATTGCTCATAGAATGTCATTCACCCACTACAGTCGTGAAGAAATAAAGACTTCAAAATACAGTATCTACTCATTCAAACACCCTAATAATGTCATTATTAGGACACAAACTCTGCTTTGACATTCACTACATTACTTAAGAACACACACACACACACAAAACCTATATTATCCCTCATTCATTTTTCATCTGCTCTGCCTGTTGTTTTGTTTTGTTATTTTTTTCCCCCTTCTATGTTCTTTCAGCAGTTGTTTTTCACTCCAGCAGATCCATCGAGCTACAGGGGCTGGTTGCCATTTACCAAAAAACACATCAAGCAAATTGTGTGGCAAGCTTCTTTATGAGGCTACACAACAGGGGTGGGGGATGAATCCAAGCTTTTTAAAAGGCCTACTCTCCTTCCCTTCCGCACACTAGCAGGAAGCACTTTATCTTTGCCAGTGGTCCCTGTGGCCCAGGTATAGCACCTAGCTCAGCTGTGCTTAAGGTGTGA